CAAGCCTGTAGCGTTGCATGGGGTTGTTTGTTAGACTTGGTCCTCATTGTCCTATCCTGCCTCTGTGACAGCGTAACACTCAACTACAGGGTGCTGAAAGAATTTCGTGTTGATACAACATCCCCAAATTTTTGTGCACTATCCATAGTAAGAGCAAAAGGCCTGGACGTGTTGAAGGCCAGGTTGGATGGGGCTTTGAGCAACCTGGTCTAGTGGAAGGTGTCCCTGCCCATGGCAGGAGGGTTGGAACAAGGTGGTCTTTAAGATCCTTTCCAACCCAAACCATTCAATGATTCTCTGAAAATAAGGAGTTAGTAAGGACGCAACATGGCCCTAAAAGAGGTGTGTGAGGTCCCTGTGCCCACCTGGGAACGGATGAGTGCTGGGCATGGGGACCATGTGGGTGGGCACCTCTGATGCATGGATATTGTTGCAGAGCCCCAGAGCATGCCGCTGCTCGCCCGCTCCCCCAGCACCAACCGTAAATACCCACCTCTGCCCGTTGATAAGCTGGAAGAGGAGATCAACCGCCGGATGGCAGATGACAACAAGCTCTTTCGGGAGGAGTTCAACGTGAGTGCCTTTGCTTCTTGCCCTTAAATCCCACAGGCTGCTCTTGACATCGGGCTTATGACGCACAGCGAGTTAAAATCTGATGTCACTTCACAGAGCAGGGACAAAACAGCTGGTACCTTAGAGAGGAGCTGCAGTGTGCAGTGGTGCCTAGCTTGGGGACGACACATCAGCGCAGGGGGTAGCTGAGTCGATAAAATAATGGTGCTGGATGCTGTGTTTCAGAAGAACTTATCTGGGAGCTTCACAGAGGGCACGTGCTCTGCCCGGTCCTCAGGGGTTTCTCAAAGAGCTGCAAGGTGGGAGGACCAATTCTGTCCCTGAATCTGCTGTGAGGGTGGACAAGCCGCTACCCCTCACTTTCACTATAGAAAGCAGAGGTTTTCTAGCAAGCAGCACTACAGGGTTACATTTTCCTGGGTTTGGGAGGTGTCCTGGATGTCATGGGATCTTCCAAAACTTTGCTGCCGCTGATTTCCTCCCGTGCTCTGCCTCCCTCCTTCCAATCCTCATGGCTTTAGTCCACAAAGAGCCAAAACCAGAGCTCTGACAGAGAAACAGAAATAACCCCATCTATTTCAATGATCTATTAACCCTGAAACAGAATGATGACAATTTGTAGGACAACAGTTGACCTTTCGCAGTAAGTAATAAATCAGGTATTGTGCTTATCCCACGATGCCACAGCATCTCTTCTGAGATGGCTACAACCTCTTCTTGATGTTGCTGAGCTCTGCAGCTTCTTGTGACGATAAACCTGTTTCACCTTGGCAATACAAAAATAGGCAGAGCAGTACTGAGGTAGGAGACAAAGTTAAATAACAAGCTGGAGTATCGCAGTGTGTCACGTAGGAGCTGCTGATCTCCATCAACCTAATTAACGTAAGAAAATCCACTGTTGTTCTGGTTGTCTGCACTGCAAAGGTGTCATCTGCAAATGCATAAAGCCTTAGGTCCAAGGCGTGATTTAGCAATATGAGGATGATGAGAAGGTAAAAAACCAAGCCGCTCGACTTTCTCCAGCTGTTGCACAACTTGATACTCTTCCTGGCCGCGCTTCAGTGAAACTAAATAGGTGCAATGAATGCCCGGGGAGGGGGATTTTTGGGGTTATAAATACTTGATTGCCCTGAAGACTTCCGTTACCGAAGCACGTCTGTCCTGTCAGCTGGAGGAAGGGATGGCGAATACCTCCCATACGTTCTCATCCTCTTCACTACTCAAAGACGATGTGGAGTAACGGTGCTGGGGAAGCACCTCCTCTGCTTGAGCCTGAAGCCTGGCTGCTGTGACCAGACCAGCATTGCCTGTGACCCCATCACCCCCCAGCCCAAGGGTCCCTGGTGCTGCTGGATGAAGAATAACCCTGCATGGGTGCTCTTTCCCATCACTGGGTGTGCTCGGGTGATGGGGACTTTAATAGGGTCACTATTAGTGTCACTGTTAGCAGAGGAAATCTCAGCAAGAGCCTCCGCGGACAGAAATGAGCTCCTTGATCGCTGGGCTGGCGGGTTTGGTGTTGGAGGTTTTGCTGCCACCTCGTGTTCGTGGGTCCTGAGATTCCAGATACCACGTTTCGGAAGGGATTTGCTCTCTCTAGTCCAGCCCAGGTTATTTAAATCATCACCTTGAGCTCAGTGGGGAGGAGGAGGTGGTGCTGGGGTGGAGGGGAGAGGTGTGGGTGGTAGGGACATGTCCGAAGGGGCAGGATGCTCAGATGCGGTGTGCGCCGACACGCTGGTTGTGTGATGGTTACTGGCATGCCATGAGAACATAGTGGAAAACCCCTTTTTCTACCATTGCAGGCTCTCCCAGCGTGTCCCATACAGGCCACATGCGAAGCTGCTTCCAAGGAGGAGAACAAGGAGAAGAACAGATACGTGAACATTTTGCCCTGTAGGTATCGGAGCTGGTTCGGTGGAGGGAGGAGGTACATGGCTGGTGCTCCTACCAGGGCTCCCCATTCCTGGTTTTGGGATGGGCAAGGACACATTTGAGGTCATTTCACCTCCCAGATGGGTGACTGCATCTGCTTTAGCTTTAGATACCCGAGAGGAGGAGCTCCCTGGAGCCGTCAATGGCCGGGAGGACATGGAAAATGAAACAGATGGGAAATACCAAAACGGCCAGCTCTTGCTGGGTGGTGTGGGGCTGCAGGCTGCGTCCAACATGTGCGCTCTGCAGAAGAAAAACTTCCTTGGGCAAGGCCTAGCACCTCTTTGTGCTTAAACAAGAAGAATATGGAGGCATAAAGATGTTTGGGGAGTGGGGGGAGCCAGCAAGCCCAGGCTCCGCTCGAATACCTGGCTTTCTTGCTACGCTGCATATCAGATGCGTGGAAGGGTTTGTTTTTAATGTAAAGTTTTAATTTTCTTCCAGATGATCATTCCAGGGTTCACCTAACTCCTGTCGAAGGGGTTCCTGACTCCGACTATATCAATGCCTCCTTCATTAATGTGAGTTTTGTGATTTGAAGGGGAAATCCCCACCAGCTGCAGCCCAGCCAGCAGTGCCTGGTCCCACCAGGAGCCTGGCGCTTTTATGGGGTGTGACTTGTGCCTGAGAGAGGATGGTTAAGAGACTACCTCCTACATTAACACCTCCCTAGCTCCTCCAAAGCAATCAATTACGTTGTCTTTTGAACTCGTAACCTTTGCGTGGCCGTGGTAGAGCTCACTGTGCTTCATTCCATGCCTTGAGCCCCGGTGAGCGTGGTTGGATTAAGAGGCTGAGAGCTGGTACTCAAATTCTGGCTGTAGTTCTGCCTTTGCTCATCTGCTTTGCCATAGTCCCATCTCTCCCCACCTCTTTTTTCCCCACTTCTAAAATAATGAGAAGCACTTGCACTCCTTGGGGTGCTACAAAGCCGAGCTGGCTGTTTTGGAAGGGATTTGGGAACAGTTCCCGCAGGAATTGGGCATTTCTCATTAGCAGCTGATAAATGGTATAGCCAGTTAATCATCGGTACTTCCCAGCATGTGGGGCTGGACGTGGGAAGGGGATGAAAAAGAAATCAAGGCACCCAGCTAAAATAGAAACAATATTGCCCTGCTCTACTCCTAGGAGGAGATGGGTCCTGTATGGTTATCACCACGTAGCTCAGATAAGTTGGAAGGGTAATGTGAAGAAGTAGACTTTGAGAGAGACAGAGGTACATGAAGGAAAGCAAGACCCAAAAGAGCTTTTTTCTTTCTTCACCAATAAATAAATATCCATTAGGAAATACACAAAATCAATCCCCATGAGTTCAACAGCCCCATCTCTCAAAGATTAATGCTGATTTTCATGTGATGCTCTGGATGCAGGATCTGATCCCAGCGGAAGGGCTGTCGGGTACCACTCCATAAGTGCTTTGTACCAGCAAGTGGGGTCGTTCCCACTTTATGTGAGCGTGGGAACTGTTGCTCCGGGGCAAGGGCCCTTTGCACAGGGATTTTCCATTGTTGGTGCTGTTTCTCCCCTTGGAGGCTGCAGCCCCTTCTCTGCACAGAGGGAAGTGAGCAACAGAGCAGGTGATGGCTCTGTTTAGTAATGATGTAGATGCATTTCATGACTCTTGTGTTAGACAATTACTCGCCTTTCATTTATCTTCGTTTTTGTCTTTTTCTCTATAGGGGTACCAAGAGAAAAACAAGTTCATTGCTGCACAAGGTAAACGCTTGGTTATTCCCGTAGCTCTGTCTGGTGGCAGTTGGGCTGGGGTCCTTCTGTTCTGCGAAGCTGTGCCAGTCTAACCACAGCACAGTACCTTGCAGAGCTCCCCTGATCAAAAGGAGGCTTGGCTGGTCCACAGTTTGTACCCAAAATGGTTTTCCCAGTCAAAGACCAGTGCTGGATGTGTTGGGGGAGGAAGAGAAGCCCTACCTGTGCAGTACTGATTGCTGAAGGGTGTCAAAGCATTTCTGCCCTGAGCCTTTCCCTTCCACCCTGGCCCACAGCTGCAGGTGGGCATGATCTCTGGAAATATTGCCAGTGAGCTGCTTAATTCCCCAAATCTGTTATTACAGAGAGCACCACGCTGATCTGGCTTCATTTCTGCTCCGTTTTAAACCTCAACAGTCCATAACATAGGCTGGTGCCCTTGGAGAGAAATTTCACTGTGGTCTTCAGAAGGGAGGCAGGACTATTTAACTATTGAGAGCAACAAGCATCACGAGTCTTCCCAAGCAGAATTGCCCCCAGCCAGTGCATCACTGGCTTGCATGCACCATCCGTAGCCCTCCGGCTCTCTTACTTTCTTTATACCGGTCCAGACACGTCCCTAAAACCAAGATACCGACTCACAGGGGAGTTCGTATCAGCAAAAAGGGGGTTACCTGCCCATGGGAGGTGTTTTGCATTTCCACTCTTGACTTGCAAGTGGTTTAGGGCATCACCTGCCAGTTTGCCTGGCTCTTGCTGGAGAAGGAAGGCTGGATCGGGTCTGTCAGTGGTACCAGGCTGGGGTAAAGCTTTGAGGTCCATCAGTGGTACCAGGCTGGGGTAAAGCTTTGGCTCTGCTGTTCTCTTGGCTTGCCCTTAGCCTCAGGCTTGGCAAGGGAGATCTGGGTTGAGTTAGCTCCTTGTCTGGCAGGCAGCAGGTAACTATTCTTGTGCCACAGTGAAATGGGATCCCATGGTTAAAGCCCAAGATGCCAGGGTAGAACTTCTGCGGACTGTTTTGAGACAGCCACAATTTCCCTGGGTGACCTTGGGCGAGCTATTTCCATGCTCCGTTTGTCTGATTTCCCCTTCCTGGGCTAAAAATGGAATTCCTGATCACAAAGCATATCCAAAAAGCCCAGCTATTGTGTGATAGGATTGTTCACTGGGTTAGACAACATGCCCAGACACCAAAGCACCTCCTGTGCTGACATCTATTGGCAAAAAATGCATTGCCTCACCCACGACGTGTGACTTCACACGCTACATTTTGATCCCAAAGACATTTCTTTTTACCTTCCCCTTAGGACCAAAGGAAGAAACGGTGAATGATTTTTGGAGGATGATTTGGGAGCAAAACACAGCAACAATTGTCATGGTGACCAACCTGAAAGAGAGGAAAGAGGTAGGTGCCAGGAGGCTTCATGGGCTGGTGTCTAACCCTACTTCATCCGAATCCAGCACATCTGTCCAGGTTTCAGCTGGGATAGTATTAATTTTCTTCCTAGTAGCTGATACAGTGCTGTGGTTTTTGGATTTAGTGTGAGAATAATGTCGATAACACACTGATGTTTGAGTTGTTGCTAAGTAGCACTTACTCTAAGTCAAAGACTTTTCAGTTTCCCATGCTCTGCCAGCAAGGAGGGGCACAAGAAGCTGGGAGGGAGCACGGCCAGGACAGCTAACCCCAACTGCCCAAAGGGATATTCCGTACCATAAAGCGTCATGCCCAGTATAGAAACTGGGGGCAGTTGGCCGGGAGGGGCCGGTGACTGTTCACGGATGGGCTGGGCATCGGTCAGCGGTGGTGAGCAATTGAGCTGTGCACCACTTAGGTTTTTTCCCTTGGGTTTTATTGCTCTCTCTCTCTTTGTTATCTCCCTTTTCATTACTGTTATTATTTACTTTATTTCAATTATTAAACTATTCTTATCTCGACCCACGGGTTTTACCTTTTTCTGATTCTCCTCCTCATCCCAGTGAGGGGGCGGAGGAGTGAGCAGGCGGCTGCATGGTACTTAGTTGCCAGCTGGGGTTAAACCACGACAACATCTCATGCCCCTGGGCGTGTCTTGCAGCCGATCCCAGGCTTGAGAGGGACCAAAGCTCACCTGCACCCATTTTCTCTTCCCACAGTGTAAGTGTGCTCAGTACTGGCCAGATCAAGGCTGCTGGACATATGGGAACATCCGAGTGTCCGTGGAGGATGTGACTGTCCTGGTGGATTACACCGTGCGGAAGTTCTGCATCCAGCAGGTGCTGGGGATCACATCTCCCATCCCATCCCACCCTGTCTCATCCCATCTCTCCCCTCTCCATGCTGGGCATCCAACAGGTGCTGGCATGCTCCTCGACTCCTCCAAGGTGCCATGAGACCACAGTTGGGATGAAATTACTCCCATCATCATTTTAACCACAGCTATTAAGAATTTACTCATCTAATACCCCTGGGAGCCCATTTCCAGTGGGTACCAGCATGACTGTACTGACAGCGAGGAAGCTGATGGTTGCCAAGGCTGAAATTCAGTCCTGTAATACTCCAGCACTTGCTGTTACCAGTATTGTTCCTGCTGTCACCCACAAATACTTAATGCCTGCAAATAATCAGATTTATCCCATGAGCTGAGACAAAATCCAGTGCCGTATGCATTGGTTTTGATTGCTTTCCCATCTGTCACTACATTTTCTCATCCTCCGGAGGATGCGGTGGGCGCTTTCGTCGCTCTGTTTGTTTTCCTGCTGCTCTCGGAGGCAGGCAAGGAAGAGCTGGCGATTGAAAATCTGTCTGGACCCTGAGCAGGGTTCTCCTGAGCCTCACCTTTCACTCCAGTGGCCTGGACATGGGTGGTTTCCTCCCCTGCCTTTAGCACGAGGATGCTGTGGGCAGAGGTGTGGGAAAGGATGGAGCGGTGGCTGCTGTTTGAGCTCTCTGGGAATGAAATATGGCAGCTTCCGCCAGGTTGGAGCTACAGCCGTGGCTGGGCTGGCATCTATCACCCCTAAGATGCCGGATGTGATGCTGGGCAATTACAATGTCATGGTTTAGAGATTAATTTGGCTCCCAAGCCTGCGCCCGTGCCCTTTCAGCTTGTGGATGCTAGTGCTTCTTAAGCCATCCAGCTCAGTCTTGGGGCTGTAGCTCCCTCTCTGCCCTTGCTTTTGAGGAAAGAAGGGAAATCTTAATCTACGTTTCCCCTTCAGGTCGGTGATGTCACGAACAAGAAGCCTCAGCGCCTGGTGACTCAGTTCCACTTCACCAGCTGGCCCGACTTCGGCGTCCCCTTCACCCCCATTGGGATGCTGAAGTTCTTGAAGAAGGTGAAGACGTGTAATCCCCAATACGCAGGAGCAATAGTAGTGCACTGCAGGTAAGTCCTGGTCACAGCTGACCTCTGCCTCTCCTGGGTCACTTGGAAAGCGTCTCCTATTTAATACTAAAAGGATTTTTTTTCAGTCAGGCCTTTTTTATTATCTTTATTGAACTTGCCCATGTTAAATGGGGATGTTCCACATGGGAACATTCAAAAAAATGCATGTGAATTGAAGGAACTTCTTGGAATCAGTGATGTGATAGTGTTGCAACTGATATTGAGTGGTCATTTGGGTTACCTGGATGCCGAGATCTCCCTTGGCTCTCCTCTGCCCTGGGCATGAGAGGGTAACATCCGTTGTTGCGAGAAGGCAGTACTCAGCTGAGAGCATGCCTGGGAGCAAGGACCTTGGTGTTTGACCTCATGTGGAGTGGTTTTGGGCACAGCAGCAAGCCTAGGGGAGCCACAGAGTCTTTCCACATTTCAATAAGGCAAAGCTCCACAGTTAAAGGCAGAGATGATCACATTTGCAACCTCCCAAGTCCATCTTTCCAGCTTGCTTCTCAGGAGGCAGCTGACAAAAGAGCTTTGTCATTCCACAGCATCTGCTGACCTCATCCTTCTTCTTCTCGTTGATGGCTGAGTTACCAGCACAGAAACAAGGCTTCCCCATGGGCTCACCTTCATGTGATGGAGGGTGACTGGAAGGACTGCAGGCAGCTGGTAGGAGCAGGCAGCCTGTAAGGACTCTGGAAGCCGAAGCTGGCACAGGTTTCTCTTTGGCTGACCCTGCTCCATGCCTTCATGCACCGCAGTCACAGCAGTTGCTGGAGATGCTGTGTGCATCTCTGCAAACCCAGGGGACACTGAACATCAGGCTGAGGACCACTCTCATCTCTAAACCAGATTTTGCTATTTGCTCGCTGCTGGGAAGCGTCTGGCTCGCTCCCTGCTGCTCTGCAAGAGACCTCAAGACCAACACTGCTGAACTGACCTCTTGTCCTCTCTGCTCTTTCAGCGCCGGGGTAGGACGCACGGGCACTTTTATCGTCATCGATGCCATGCTGGACATGATGCACGCAGAGAGGAAGGTGGACGTTTACGGCTTCGTGAGCCGGATCCGGGCTCAGCGCTGCCAGATGGTACAGACAGATGTAAGTGTGCTGCTGCCATTTCTTTTGGGTTTTGCTCACTGGAGTTAGATTTCCTTCGCGCAGTCAGTACCCAGCCTGCAGCGAAGCCTACATGAGGGTTGAGCATCGTCCCTCATTTTGGAAGGATGCTGCATCAAGTGAGCCTTTTGCTGGATCCTGCCTGCTCCTGTTAATCCCCTTCATAGAATCATAAAATCATTTAGGTTGAAAAAGACCCTTAATATCATCAAGTCCAGCTGTAAACCGAACACTGCCAAACCCACCACTAAACCCTGTCCCTAAGCACCACATCTACACGTCTTTTAAATGCCTCCAGGGATGGTGACTCCACCACTTCCCTGGGCAGCCTGTGCCAGTGCCTGACAACCCTTTTGGTGAAGAAATTCTTCTTAATATCCAATCTCAGCCTCCCCTGGCACAACTTGACGCCATTTCCTCTTGTCCTATCACTGGTTACTTGGGAGAAGAGACCGACCCCCACCTGGCTACACCCTCCTTTCAGGTCATTGTAGAGAGCAATAAGGTCTCCCCTCAGCCTCCTCTTCTCCAGGCTTGGAGAAAGTTTTGTGTTGTGTCAGCTTTGTGTGGTGTAGCAAATAAGGTGCCAGTCCCCGTACAGCAGCAGAAAGGTCGTTACCCACTTTTCTGGGGTCTCAGTGGGATACCACGTGCCCAGCAAGCATAAGTGGGCAGTGGGGCGGTGGGTTTGCAACCAGCATGTGTGCGGACATCGGGATGCGCTCGCTGAACATGGGGCGGAGGCTGATGGCTTCTCCCTGCAACCCTTGCAGATGCAGTATGTGTTTATATACCAAGCACTTCTGGAGCACTATCTCTACGGTGACACAGAGCTGGAGGTGACCTCTTTAGAGATCCACCTTCAGAAGATCTACAACAAAGTGCCAGGGACCAGCAGCAATGGGCTGGAAGAGGAGTTCAAGGTGAGTGTGGTTCTTGTCCTGGTGGGTCCACTCAGATGGGTCTGGGCTACAGGGACCACCATGAGCTTGCCTGGTGCTGGGTGGCTCTGAAAGCTCTCTGCTTTTGATCCTTCCTCTGCAGAAGCTCACTTCAATCAAAATTCAGAACGACAAGATGAGAACGGGCAACTTACCGGCAAACATGAAGAAGAACAGGGTGCTTCAGATAATTCCATGTAAGGCTTTTTTGTCTGCATGGGGAGAGCGTGCCTGGTGGATGTGGGAACCATTTGGGTGGTTGTGAGAACAGGAGTCAGGCTGGACAAATGGGCCAACAGGGATCTCATGAAGTTCAACGAGGAGAGGTGCAAAGTCCTGTCCCTGGGGAGGAACAACCTGACCTGAGAGTCACCCAGCTGGGAAGCAGCTTGGCAGAGAAGGACCTGGGGGTCCTGGTTGACACCAAGTTGACCATGAGCCATCAACATGCTGTCACCACAAAGAAGGCCAGTGGTGTCCTGGGCTGCATTAGACAAAGCATGGCCAGCAGGGCGAGGGAGGGGATCCTTCCCCTCTACTCAGCACTGGTGAGGCCACGCCTGGAGCACTGGGTCCAGTGCTGGGCTCCTCAGTACAAGAGAGACATGGGCAGACTGGAGAGAGCCCAGCGAAGGCCCTGGAGCATCTCTGCTGTGAGGAAAGGCTGAGAGAGCTGGGACTGCTCAGCGTGGAGAAGAGAAGGCTCAGGGGGGTCCCACCAGTGTCTATAAATACCTGAAGGGAGGGTGCAGAGAGGTCGGAGCCAGGCTCTTTCCATGTTGCCCAGTGATAGGACAAGGGACAGTGAGCACAAATTGAGACACGAGAGGGTCCCCTGAACATCAGGAAACACTTTTTGACTGTGGGGGTGACCGAGCACTGGCACAGGTTGTCCAGGGAGGTTGTGGAGTCTCCATCCTTGGAGATGTTCAAAATCTGTCTGGACACGGTCCTGGGCAACCATCTCTGGGTGGCCCTGCCTGAGCAGGGGGGTAGACCAGGTGACTTCCAGAGGTCCCTTCCAACCTCAACCACTCCAGGATTCAGTGAGTGCTCAGGAACTTTCAAGACAGAGGCATTTGTGCCCACAGTAGTGGAGTCACAGACTGGCTGAGGTTGGAAGGGATCTTCGGAAGTCAGCTGGTCCAACCCCCTGCTCAGGCAGGGATAGCATGAAGGGATGGGGCAGAGTCAAGGGCAGGTGGTTTTTCGTGGCCAAATATAACGCTGCCCCTGGGGCTTTCTTGCTTTTGTTCTGCCCTGTCCCTGCCATGACTTTCTTCTTGGCAGGTTTGTGCTGCTGAGGCTTTCTGCCTCAAGGGAGAAGGGAGTCCCTGTGTTGAGCAGATCCTGCTCCTGGAGTCCTCATCATCCCCTTGTCCTTCCCCAAACCAGGGCATGGCAGAAGGCAGAACTGAGTCTCCTTGTCCCAGTTGGGTGCTGTAAACACAGGGCTCCCCTTCCCATACCTCTTTCCTCTTACTTAGGGCTTGGTGACTTCCCAGCTGAAGGCCGTGCATGGTTATCAAGGAGTCACACTTTGAAGGTGTTCCCCAAACCTCAGATCATTTCACTTCTCTTTCAGATGAGTTCAACCGAGTAATCATTCCAGTGAAGAGAGGTGAAGAGAACACAGACTACGTAAATGCTTCCTTCATTGACGTGAGTCTTCTTTAATCTTCTTTCCATCTTCTCCCAATGGAAACTCTTTACCTCATGCCGCTTCCTATGGAAAGGATTTGTCCCAAAACACTCTTTCTCTGGGTTTTGTAAGGCTCTTTCCAGTTGACTTTGCTTTGTGTCACTGGATGGTGCTGGTTTCTTTCTCCAAGAAACCCCTCTGTATGTACAGTTTCCTTGTGACCCACGAATGGTGGGAGAGGAGAGCTGGAGCCTGAGCAGAGCCTCCAAATCCGGATCTCACTTCTGCAACTCTGGGCTCTGATGATGGCTTTGGAGAAGCGGATGCACGTAGCCGTGGAAATGATTGCTATATGGCACTGTTCATTTGGTCAGAAAACATCCACTAGATTAGCTAATGGAGCAATACACGGATCCTAAAACCCTTGAGAAGAAACAGGTCAATCCCATTATACCTGTCTGGGTGACAGGAGGAGGTGAGGCAGAGAGGTTAAGTGCTTTCCTCACTCCAAGGAGGAGATAAGTGATTGCACATCCTTTTCTCATGAGTAATCCTGTTGACTTCAGGGGGACATCTCGTATGAGTATTTATCTTCGTGCAGTGATGCCAGCGCTGGCTAAGTGACAGAGCCCTGCTCTTTTCTAGCCCAATTTCTACTTTCATCTCCTAATGGCAGGGGGCTTTTTTTCCCCCAAAGGATGATTACTGCCATGGGTTGAACCAGTAAACCCAGCACATTCCCAGTTATAACATCCCACATTAATTGCTCCCTGAAATCTCCTTTGCTGGGTCCCTGCGGGTTGCTCTGGCTGCGTGAGCATCTGACACAATGCAGCCGGCAGCAGCTGCCTTGTTCTGCATCGAGATCAGAAAGCTTAAATGTCACGTAAGCGATTTTTTTTCAGGATTCAATTTCCTGCCTCTGCTGAACTTTGCTTAAACGACAAGCTCCAAATGACGAAGCATCTTTAGTCACAGTCTGCAGCAAGGGCACAGGGGAACGACACAGGGCTTTGGAAACAGAAGCACTTTGTGGTAGGGGAAGAGCCAGAGTCGCCCAGACTTACTACTGGTTTTCATAGATCGTAGATCATGGATTGGTTTTGGTTGGAAGGGACATTAAAGATCCTCTAGTTCCATCTAGTTTGGCTTACTTCTTCCAAAAATCCCCAGTAAAAATCATACCTGAAGTATGTGAAGCTCAAGCAAGGCTCTGCTCTAGCACTCAGACTTTGCAACATCTCTTAGGAGTGCCAGAAACCCAGATCTTCCTTCACCAAATGCATGTGTAGGGGGTATGATCCTCCCTGCTGCATTTCTTTAAAAACAAAGGTCTTGCCACCGTAACGCGCTGGCTGATGGCACCCCAGCTGCCGAGCAGCGATGTGGTAATGCCTGTGAGTGAGGACATAGCCCACTGTGAGAGCAGTTTTCTCTGCCCAGGCTGTGGTCATTCACGTGGACAGTCATGATGCTCCCAAAATTTAAATGAACTTGGTAACCCGACCATGTCCAAGAGCGTTCCTCCCGCTGCTCCCAGCATCCAGGCGCTGCCGATTCACCGCTAACCTAGTTTTCAAACTGCAGGGTTATCGCCAGAAGGATTCCTATATCGCCAGCCAAGGACCGCTGCAGCACACGATAGAGGACTTCTGGAGGATGATCTGGGAGTGGAAATCCTGCTCCATAGTGATGCTAACGGAGCTGGAGGAGAGAGGCCAGGTAAGCGCCTGGGGATCGCTGCATTTACGCATCAGCAAAATAAATCAATGTGATCCCTTAAAATCTCCTGATGGCCCCAGCACTGCCAGTGCCACACGCTATTTTACCCCTTCTCTGGTAGGAAATATATTTCAACCTCTACTTCTAATGCAAAGAATCCAATTGTTTGTAGACCCAGGGTGGGGAGACCTTCAGTAAACCAGCTCTGGACCCTGAGTCCTCAAAGCACCTTTGCGTGCAGTGGGCAGCTCCTCTCTGAAGAAAGCCCATGGGATTCCACCTGGTTTTGGGCAGCTGCCAGCCCCAGGAGAAGACTTGGAAGGAGAAGGCATTGGAATGGGCTGCCCAGGGAGGTGTGGAGTCCCCATCCCTGGAGGTGTTTGGGAAAAGACTGGACGTGGCACTTAGTGCCATGGTCTAGTTGACATGGGGGTGTTAGGGCAAAGGTTGGACTCGATGGTCCCAGAGGTCTCTTCCAACCAAATCGATTCTGTGATTCTGTAAAAGACGTGTAGATGTGGTGCTCAGGGACATGGTTTAGTGGTGGCCTTGGCAGTGCTGGGTTAACGGTTGGATTCAAAGATCTTAAAGGTCTTTTCCAACCTAAATGATTCTATGATTCTTCTATTCAAGCCCATGGGAAAAATATGGGGTCTTCACACTGTCTCCTCCTGTGATGCTTTCTCAGGAGAAGTGTGCCCAGTACTGGCCGTCTGACGGCTCTGTGTCCTATGGAGACATCACTGTGGAGCTGAAGAAAGAGGAGGAGTGCGAGAGCTATACAGTGCGGGACCTGCTGGTAACGAACACCAGGGTAAGAGTCTGGCCTTCCCCCTGGGGGGAGCTCTGGGCACTCTTGGGTTTGGCTGTCATTAACCCTCGCTGATGTTTATGGTGCTTCACGATTCCTCACGCAAGTGCTGAACCTTCCCCCTGGCATCTTCAGCTCCGTCATCATCCCAAAGTAGCGTCCATCCCCTGCAATCCCACCTCGTTCTCTACACTTACCTCCCCCTCCAGGGTTCCTGTCCTGCTGATCGCTTCTCATCCAGCCTCCCTCCTGCTCCCTGTTGCCCACGTCCTGCCCTGCTCCA